ATAAGAGTGATAAGACCCCCCCCCCATCGGCTTTTAGGACACTCAAAAGGGATCACAGATGACAAATAGCTAAGAAAGACCGTGGCAGGTGTCGATTTAAAAGTATGCACATTTCCTACCTTATTTTTAAATGAAATTCATCTCCAATCCTTCTTCTATCATTTCAAGTTTATCCATTATTCGAATGCAAGAAAAATATAGCTGGTTTTCCAAGTAAAAACCGCCAAATAACATCTACACTGTAGTTACGTTATGATCAGAGGGTGGGGAGATGGGGGGATTCCCCCGCTCTATATGTCTCTGCATCTAATTTTTTATTTTTTTATTCCCAGTGAATAGGAGTTTTGAAAATGAGCAAGAGGGTGGCTAACCGCACCACTCAAGACTCAAGACTAAAAAGTCTACAAAAACATCTTTTTAATTTCTCATTTCTCCTATTTTTACATTTAGACTACCTTTGCTGAATCTCATCTAATGCTCGCTTAAAGTTAATCGTGGAAAACACTAATTTACTTAACACTGTTAAATGTAATCTTTAGCCAATGAAAATGAATATCCATTTTCATACTGTGCACTATAATGCTGTGATGTCATAACTATTAAAAATATGTTTTTGTAGACTTTTTAGTCTTGAGTGGATCAGTGTGCTGTTAGCCACCATCTTGCTCATTTTCAAATATCCTACTGGCTCTACGCACCTGCAGTACAAGGAACTATTTGTTTTTTTGTTTGTTTTTTTGGAGCGCTACAATTTTCTCCAGTGAATAGGGAGTTAAAATTCCCACCCGGGTGACACTACTCCAATAACAGACCATGCAAAATACCAAAAAATGTTTAAAATATTGCAAAGTAACATTGCAACCTTGCAAACAATAATAAAATCAGAGAAGGACTTTAACTGTAAGCGACACTAGCATACGCAAAACAAAGGGAACAATATGATGTTTGTTATTATTAAAATGTTATATAGCCCACGTTTTTATAAACTTTTTTTTTTATTTACCGCTTAGGCAATAACGTTGACAATAAATCTTCAACATACATTGTCTATGACCAAAAATGTAAGAAGATATGTTTTCAGTGGACTTTTAAAATTGGCTTTGCTTGAGAAAACAAAAATATACAGTTACAGTGTTTTTTTATTTTGATTTAGTCGAGTTGGTTTTGCATCAAACACAATGTAATTTTTGGCAATCGAGATCTGACAGCAACAGCACATTTTTCCGCTTGGGCTAGCGCTTCACAGACAGCTTACCTCGCACATTACATCAGCCGCAGACCAGCAAATCACTGAGAACGTGCTACAATCCTGACGAGTTATAGCAACAGAGCGGAGACGAGAAAGCTGCGGAGAATCCGCTCACCCGGAAGCAACCGCAACTGAAGATTTAAAGAAAATTACTGCCGTTTGGCAAATAAATCATTGTACGTACTTATTCCTAACTCTTTAAGCTTTAAGTTACATTTCAAATGTCAAGGGATCAACTTATAATCATGTTTATATGAATTTTCCCGTGAACTTATTCTCTCAAATGGCCTGGGTATGCGGAGCATTCGCAGCTTATATGGACGGAACGCCACTGATATACAGTATATATATGCAGAGAGTTTAATGTTTTCTGTTTCGCTGTTATTCAGTAAAGTAAAACAACTGTAGTGACTAAATTTAATAGTACTGATACTATTTTGAGAAGCATCTGATAATGAAGGTTTATAGTCACCCAGGTAAACCTTCACACTGTCAGAGACACAACAACAGTCCATCTGAAATGAGCTTTGAAACAAATGCTTTTCAGTGAAGTTTTGAATGAATTTCACACATTCCTAAGGCAAACCAAATTTTCTGTTCTACAGCTGAGGTCATCAGTCAAGCTATCATTCTTCATTTGTTAGTATTGCTGTTGTTTAATTTGAATTGTAAATGCAGAATGTGATCCTGA